GCGTCACGACATTGCGAAGTGTCTGATCTTGTTCCTCGTATCGTACTCACTCGAGTCAATCCGAGATGGCCCGAGTGAAGTTTCATGTAAATGTTTCGTACGGGAAAAAAATCGCATACGGGTAACAGCACTGAACTTTCTGTGTAAATTGAGGGCGCCATTGAAAATGATAGTGCTCAGGGGAAATTTGATTGGCTGAATCTATGGCAGCCATCTTGGATGGTACACACACACAGCTCTGCGTATTTCGAACATCGAATACATTGCAGGGTTGCCATTTGGCCTTTTTGACGGCCAGATTCCTCAAATCTGGCCGTATAAAAATTTGCCTGGCCGTAACGTTTGAAAAGTCACGGCCAAAATATATTTGGCCGAATTTTTAAAAAGTTTACATTTTTTTCAATATAGGCCTAATATAACGTAGACTTGTTTTGGATAAGTTGATTTTATTTGCTTAAATTCTATATTTGATTCTAATCATGTACCTTTGTACGGTACTTGCACTAAACGCTTAATCTAGGCCTGTTACCCGGACCCCTTTAGTCGATTGGAGTAAGAGAGTTTATTTAAAAGATAACAGTTACATTTAATAATTTAAATTGTTCGGATAAAATATTATTATTTTATATGAAGTTTATCCTCGTTTAAGCTTTATGAAGACAGTGTGTGTTTGCATATGTTCCATCCTAGTGGAGGTTCTATCTCTTTGGAATATAAATTAAATACTGTACTTTAATTAATTTATTATTGCCCACTTGAATTGTATAGGCCTAGCCTGAGGTGCTGTAGTGTTCTTTATGTAGAATTCGATGTGATCATTCGGGTCCGATGGCACCTCCAATTTCAAGCAAGCGTTGTGCCAGAAACTTCTTCGAAGTTAGGTTAGGTTGTATATGAGAATGAAGAAGATAATTCTGATAGCAACATTAATTTATTGCTTTAAGTACTGCGACAATAACATTCAGAGGCGAATTTAGAAAGTTTAGATATAAGGTATCTATTAAAGTTTTCATAGGTTTGTTTTAACGCCAGTTTGTGTTACTAGCCTATAACTTAATTCACCGTGGATTTGCCAATAACAGGCCCTTACATTTTTTGCTCTAGCATAGTTACCAACCTGAGAGATTTGAAATGCGTGAGTGACTACACCATTTGGCTGAAGGGGGTGGGGGCGTGGCCCCAGGCGCTCCGACGATCTGAGCATTAAAGCTGTTTAAAACGATTTCAGAGAGTGAGTGTGTCTTGACAATAACGGTGACATAAGCAAAAATATTTTTAGTTTCAGTATAATTGAGCACCCGAATTGACCTAAACATTTCACTAATAAATTTTTAGTAACGCGTCAGTGAAATAAATATTCACATAAATATTAAGTACTCTCTAATGACTCAATTACTGGTACTTGTAGCCGTCTGATTTCCGACATTCGGCAGCCATTGGCATTATGTTGGCGTTAAAAGACTGCATATTGTGATGAGGAACCTGTGTACAAAGAATTACCAAACACAAAAAATATGGAAAAATGAATGCTATTTACAAAATATTCTATTTAATGCTTATGGGTGAAACTTTCTTTGATAAATTGGCTTCTATTCAGTTGAATTTTTTCTACATGATTATTTATATATATTTTTAAATAAAACCAATTTCTTTTAATTTTAAATACATTTCCCCTGAATTCGTGATAATTCGTTATCACGCATAGAT